ACTAGCCAAGCCCAGCTCCATTCCCCGGGGTCAGGCGTTGGCCCTGCTGTCCTGGCCAGATCCTGCAGTTACCAGTGGTGAGGGAATCCCCCTTCACTTCCTGTCCTAAACTGCTGTGCAGTGCGGCTGTGAAATGGCTACTGTGCTGCACCCCAGATATAGCTGCATTTGTACACCAGGCAAGGGGGCCCTGGATAAACAGCCCCTGTGCCCCGCCCCAGAGGTGGCTGCATCTCAGTACCAGATGAGGGATCTTTGTATAAGCAGCCCCCCGGCCCAACCTGAGATGGCTGCATATGAGCACTGGGTGAGGGATCCCTGTATAAACAGCAAACACACCCTACCCCAGAGGTGGCTGCATCTCTGCCAGTGGGGAGTGGTGTCCAGTCTCACCTTGCCTCTCCAGAGACTCTTTCCCATGCTGGACAAAGCTCTTGAGCAAACTGACAAACGTTCTCAGGAAAAACTGAAGCGTCATGGCTGTGCCCTTATCCTGGTTGAAAAGGTCCCGGGCGTAGAGCGCCAGCTTATCCCCCCGCCGAGCGACCCATTTGCTTGTGTCCGCATCGAAGCTGATGAAGTCCTCGCCGTTCACTCCAGTGTCATAGAATCCCCTCGAGGTGCCGTTGGGGTGCAGCTCGCAGACGAGGGAGCCCTGGGCAACAAAGGGGTCTGGAACAGGAAGGGCAGGGGGATGAGGACGGGCGTCCGGAGGTCCCAGGAGGGGGCAGAAACAGAGACACGGGGGGAGTAAAGACATAACGTCAGGTGCAATGAGGATGTTGGACCACACAACGGCGGTGGGATTATGGGGCGGCCCTGGTTGGAGTTAAGGGTAAGTTGCAGTTTCTGTTTAAAGCTGATTTTTCATGGGCATAGTCAGATTGGCTTGAAAATCGCTGCATTACATCAGGGCCTGAGGCAGAGTTTGTGGTGCAAATTTGGGGCCCCTTGGTCACGGGGTTCCCGAGATACAGACCCCCCCCCCATGACCTGCTTTTTAAAGGCTTGGGGTATGTGAGGAAAGACCAGGAGCGTCGGCTCAGGGAGTGGGACACGGGGCCTTTCCCCTCTAGGAAGTGCAGGCTACAATCTGGCCCCAGACCTGGGTGGAGAATGGGACACGGGTGTTTCCCCTCTGGGGGACGCCGGCTCCAATCAACCAAAGGGCCAGGGACTGGCTGTCTTGCCCCCAGTGACACACTCAGTGGCTGTGGTGAGTGTGTCAGTTCTCAGCACCCTGGGTGGGTGGGGGAAGGGATCCCCTTAGACCTCCATACTCACAGCTCATTCCCTGCTGCTGGGCTACTTTGTTCATTTTATGGATGAAGTCGGACAGGGAGCGATGGATCACCAGCTCCAGGTCCTGCCACTGCTTCGGGGTCAGGCCCTGCTGGGCCCAGGGCTGCAGGAAGCGGAGCTCGCAGGTGCTGCAGTCCATGGAGTGGGTCTCCAGGTCGCCCAGCAGGGCCATCCCCCGCATGTCCGTGGAGCTGGCGTTGTGGAAGACGTTGATGTGGAGCAGCCGGAAGGTGACAGACGCTCTGGGGACAGGAGGGGAGGCTGGGGCAGGGGGCAGGAAACAGGTGGAGGACAAAGCGGGTGGGGGGAGAGAGATTAATGAGTCTCTGTCCCTTAAACAATCCTGCACTACGGGGTCTCCCTGCTGATCCCTAACCTGCCTCCCCCGTCCTACTCCCCTAGCCTGGTGTGACGAACTGGGCCTGTTCTCACTGTGGTCTGTGAATGCTGACAGGGGAGTGTGCTGGGATAGTCTGCATTGG